AATATTTTGATGAAATTAGAGGCTGACTACTGCTTAAAATAACTATACCCCAGGTATTTACTTGATATATTTTTACAGATTTCTATGTGTATGTAGGAACAGGAGAGTATAATCAGATAAGGGAAAGAAAATAATGTGAATATCAATATTTATATCAAATTTATCTCAAATATGACCATTTAGAGGAAATATTCTGGCGCTCTCCTTTTCACTGGGAGGTTGCACAATGTACGTCGTGAGTTATGTATCTCCATTGATGCTCTCTTTCAAAGCAGAAATGCTTTGAAAAAGAATAAGGTAAGAGTCATTTTTTAGTTTAAAAGGAATATTAATAATGTGAGTTAAACTGTTAATGATCAGAGGGCAAGGGGTTGGATATAAGGTGTCTTTCCCCGCCGTTGTGAGCTTGGAATATTTGCATATAAATAACCTGGCTGGTCTGCTAAATGTCACAGAAGAGCGTGTTAATTTAGCAGAGAGCGTTTCATGCAAAGTAAGTACATAAAAATGCCGTAGCAATCAGTATGGGGAAGGGCGGCGGCGCCGAGGGAGGGCAGCCTGCGACAGGAGCCTCGGAGCGCGCTCGTTACCGGGGACTATCGCGGCAAAATGGCCGCCGTGCCGCCTGGCGCGCCCGGCCCTCCGGCCAACGTGGCGCCCGCCCCAGCGGCCCCTTCGCTGCGCGGAGCTGCCGCCTTTGTCTTCCTCCCTGCCGTCAAAGACCGCGAGAAACAAATTCCGGTTGGCACATAGCTCAAAAACAGTGACTTTTTTGACACTTGAGCACAGAATTATGTAAGTATTTCTGACGGTGCTAGGAAAATCATATCTGAGGTTAATGAGCGAACTTTCTCGGCTAACAATTCAGTTTTGCCCGGGGTGCAGCTATTAGCCATAAACAGGAAGCGTCTTCAAGTTATCTAGACAGCTGAAGAGTTGCCAAGTGTTTGATGTCTCAAGAGGCTCTATTTGAAGACAGAGAAATATATTGAAATGAACTGCTGTATCAGCAGCTTATATTTTATGTAATTCATAGGGGATTAAACAACAATTGTGTGTTAACTCTGCAGTGGTGGTTGCTATTACCGTGGCTGAGCAAGCCTCTCGATTGCATCTTGCTTTGCCAGGGAAGGGGACCGGGCTTCTCTTGCATGCATCCAGCTCCACCTCGTGGGCAAGGGACGAGAATGAGCTTGTACTGAATCCACAGATCCACCACTTCCTTCTCCCCACTTTCCTGGTTAGGAATTTCCATGTTTCGGTTAATTCAAGGCTTCAGAAGAGACATGGAAAATGGTCAAAACCTTCCGAAATCAGAAAGAGCTAGACATACTGTGGCACATGTATGTTATGAGAAGACTATTTTTTAGAGCTGGTTAAGTTAGAAAGTCCCAAATCTTTCCACTCTCAGAGGAGATAGAGCGACAGGGCATTGATTTTCATACTGAGACACATAACTTCAAAGAATGATGTAAGCCTTCTCGGAGAACACCGATAAGTTTTACAGGCTGTTTTCATTATGATGAGAAATTATGATAGAAAGTCTAAACCAAGAAATGAAAGAACAAATTAGGGGAAATAATCAGAAAGAATTACAAGTCTTTCAGAGTGGTTCATCTGATGGCTGCAGAGATCTGTCAGTATTAATATAATCATCTTCAAGTTCCTCATCCCCTGCAATGGTCTGAATTAAAAATTAGAGGAAATAATGTGATGCTGAAAAAGAAATATTTAAAATCTGTAATGTTTATGATGAGGCTGTAACAAATACAAAAGCAAAATGTTATTCTTAATTAACAAGGAAGAATGGCAAGAAACAAGAGTCTTAATACAGAAAAATATAAACATAGAAAATGATGCATAGCTGTGTAGAATCTAACAATAAATTACAAGCCTTCGTAAGCTATTAAACATAGTTAGACCTCGTTATAACTTTTGTCCATGCCTGTGGTTGTAAGGAGACACTGTCCAGGCAGCCCCATGTTTCTGTCATTCCCAGAGGGAATTAGTGTTTTCCTTTTTTTTTCTTTTTTCTTTTCTTTTTTTTAATCAGCTATGACCATGCTGAACTACCAGCTACAACAGGCTGGGCCTATTATTTTTCCAAAACAGGAATAAAAAATTTGCACAAAGTAACACCCAACCTAAATCTTGCCCTTCAGAAGCTAGATATCTGAGGTTGCAAGATAGGGAAGGAGGTTGCCATACTGATTATAAAGAAGTTCCTTTTCTTTGGAAGGAGTGTGAAAAAGTATCAAAGTAGCACCCTGAAACTTGTAAAGAAAGTATGATTTAGTAGCCTGACCTTTTAATGTTGCTTTGGGTAAAGTAGACCTCAAATGGCACTTAAGTAGGTTTGGGGCAATATTTGAAAATACTAAATTTTCTCCCATAATTCTATAACAATAATCAGGCAGAAAAAAATATGTGGGAGTGTGGGAGACGCTCTAGCTAGAGACAGAACAGCGCTGTCCCATGACCTTGAAGGACCAGTGAATGCTCTTCCTCCCTTTGCTGTTCTCATGTGAAACTTACGTTAGAGTTAGTTAGGTACGGCCCAGGGCCAGCTGATTGCTGGCATCTGCAAGGCCATGAATCCAAAAGCTAATTGGCTCTAGTAGATTGTGGTAGTATATAAGGTGTTCTCTTGAAAAATAAAGGGGTCCTGATTCTGATCAACACAGATTGGGGTCTGTGCAGTAATTCACCACAGTAGTCTACTGATACGGAAGTAGAATTTGGAAATACTTTTCCATGAGAGAGGATACATTTTGAAATAGCTAGTTGAATAATAAGACTCCTACTAAAATGCTCAGGTAACACGTTGCAGGCTTTGTGTATAAATGCCACTTAGAACAGAAGTAGTAGTCTGATATATTTAGCAACAGTATGTTGGGTGATATGTCTTTGAACTAAAACTAGCTGTCTGCTACAAAGAAGCATAAAAAGTACAGGCAAGCGTCTATGGGGGAGTTCATTGGGAGGCAGAGTTGACAGCATTTATATCCTGTAGTCAGGAAATAATGGTATCAATAGCTTCCTTTGTGAAATGTTTTTGATGTTTGACAGTTGGTTTTTAATACCACATCACATGAGCAAGTCAGACATAATCTCAGGCACTGTCAATGTGAAAAAGAATCAATTAAGGGATTGTGGCTACTTGCTCAAAGAAAAGTGTTCTTGTCAGTGTTCTTCATGTAGAAGACTTGATACGCTAGAAGCTGTCTAAAATTATGTAGGGGTTTCCAGATACTGAACCAAAGGAGACAATTATCCTTAATTACTGTGAACTTCAGGTCATCATTCCAAGTGAATCAATTTTTAATACCACTTAGCTTAAACCAAGTAAATATAATGAACAAACACATTATAAAATATAGCTTAAACCAAGTAAGTATAATGAACAAACACATATAATACTTTAAGATAAGGTTTTAAGATTTAAAAATAGAAGACAGTATACTTAGATCTACAGCTAGTGCAAGTGAACAGATAGAAATGTAGACATGCATATTGTTTTATCACAGTAGAGAGTGTATCTACACATAGTTATTTGGTATGGGTCACAACTTGACGTTTTCTTAGTTCTGTCTGTTCAAGCTCTCAGCCATTATCTGCAACAGGAGTTTGGAGCCTTTGCATTGATAATATCTGCCTTAGAGAAACAAGTCCTGTTGTACAGTATACATTTTGCCTGGAAACTTCACCCATAGTGTACTAAATTATGATATCTTACATAAGGCACTGGCTTGGTCTTCATAGTAGCATTGTCGTTCTTTCTTGTATGATTTAAATAGCAGTGAAGCAGTCGGTGGATTTTTGCTAAACTCTGTAAAGTGTGAACTAGACTAGCTGCAACAGGGCTATGTGTTTTATTACTTACCTTGTGATAAAGGCCCCAAGCTCAACAAAGAGTTACTTGCTAATAGCTTGGATGAGAGAGCTGACGTGTTCTAGATGACCATTGTTTGCTTAGCAAATCTTACTATGTAACAGAAATTAAGAACAAACAAGCACTACCATATTGCAAACTGTGAGCATAAATAAACTATAGCTGGGGAAAAAAAAAACCAAAAAATTTTATTGCTCTTAACTTGTGGTTTTATTCATGGAATTGGAAAAAATATAAAATTCTGTCATTTTGAAGTAAATGCTATGTATCTAAGAGACGCTAATCACTATTTTAAAAACAGTAAGGGAATTGCATAAACCCTGTTGCACATGTTCTACTGCTGTTTACAAAATGGTGGTGCTTGTGCATTCCCTTCCTCATAAAGCCTTGTCCTGTAATTGAAACTGCATTTCATAGGATCTCTGATTTGTGTTAAATTGTGTGTTAATAAGGAGATGAAATGTTGTTGTGTTGTTACATGATTGACAGTCGGCCCCAGAAAATGAAGTCCTTGGTATTCATAAAATCACAATTCAGCCTTCTCATAAAGGCCATCTAGTCACTCAGATTTGTGCTGGGCAAATTACCTCGAGTAACTTGGGAGTCCTTCCACAGGGGCTGCATCCAAGCCACCACTGGCAAGTCAGAATGAAGCAGCTTTAAGTCCCAAGGTGCCAGTCACTTTATTCAAAAAGGCCCAGGTTTGGCTACAGATCTATCCAGGGATAGGTAAAGTCTCCTTTGAGGAGGCTCTCAATGGCCTTACTGAGGAGCTACAGGAATTCCTGCATCCTTGACCTGTTTGTAACCATTTATTGAGAAATCAACACAGCCCCGTGAATGGGACAGACTTGTAACCAATAGAAATGATGATACATCAGATGGCTGTTTTAGTCAGCTAGGAGTAAATAATTGCCACCTAGTGATTATCTTGTGTATAAATGAATACTCTTCATGTGAGTGAGTCCAATTCAAATTATATAGCAAAACTGTATTCATTCTTAAAACTTAAAAGTAAATGTTACAGGTATAACCTCAATCTGTCATTGAAATGAATGAAAAATGCCTTTAAAGATGCTTCCATTAATTTTTCTGTTTTCCCTTGTAGATGACAGTCATGTCACATTCAAAGGATCTCAAGGATGACTTCCACAGTGACACTGTACTTTCCATTTTAAATGAACAGCGCATTCGGGGTATTTTATGTGATGTCACCATAATTGTGGAAGATACCAAGTTTAAAGCCCATAGTAATGTGCTGGCAGCTTCAAGCCTTTATTTTAAAAACATTTTCTGGAGTCGTACGATCTGCATTTCGGGACATGTACTGGAGTTAGATGATCTCAAAGCTGAAGTGTTTACAGAAATTCTTAATTACATCTATAGTTCCACAGTAGTTGTTAAAAGGCAGGAGACTGTAACAGACCTTGCAGCTGCAGGGAAAAAATTGGGGATATCATTTCTAGAAGATCTTTCAGATGTTAATTTTTCAAGTTCCCCCTGCCCCTATGCATACTGTATCAATGAAAAGGGAACTGTCAAAGAGGAAAAACATGAAAAGAGACATGAAGACTCGGCTGTCACAAATGGACCACGAATTACAAATGCATTCTCAATTTTTGAAACTGAGAATAGTATGTTTTCTCCACTTGATTTGAGAGCAAGCTTCAAAAAGGTATCTGAGACAATACAAACACCCAACACCAGCCTTGAGAGAAGTGAGGCTTGCAAAGATGCTGAATCAGCCAGTACATTAGCTGAACACTCATATGCAGTTTCTTCAGGGGGAGATATTTTTCAAGGAACATCTCTTTTTGAACAGAACAACAGCCCTTCCTGTAAGATGGGTGAAGAGCATTATGAAAATCTCAAAGCCACACCACTCATACAGCCAGGAAAACAGACCTGTGGAACTCCTAAGACAGCCTTTAAGGCCCAGAGCGCTGGTTTGGCTACAGCAAAAACATCAGCCTCTACGGTATCGAATACAGAAGCCCAACACGAACCTGTTGCTGATCAAACAATTATTTCTTTTCCAAAACCTCAAAATAAAGCAGATTTCCACTTACCAAGAGAAGAAGAAAATAAATCTGCCAACATCCCTGTATCTGTTGCAGCTGTAGGTCCACCTGTTTTCAACTGTAACTGCTGTACAAAATCATTCAACGACAGAGCTTTGCTCAGTACTCATCTTCAGCTCCACTCAGAGCACCAAGAAAGTTTCATATGCAAATACTGCAGCAAACAATTTGCAAATCTAAATATACTGGAAAGTCATGAACAAGTCTGTATGAGATCAAGTAACTTAGCTGTTCACAGTGGAAGTGAACAAAATTTTTCAGAAAACTATACTGCTGCAGAAGGAAGGAATGGCAATTCATATGCAAACACAGAGCCTCTATTGTCCGAAAAGAGCATAACTGATTATTCTAATGCAAGCTGCACTTTACCAGAAACAGATCATTTAGTTAAAGTTGTTGATGGGCAGATATTATATACTTGCATAGTTTGCAAGCGTAGTTATGTAACACTGTCTAGTCTTCGAAGACATGCAAATGTACACTCATGGAGAAGAACATATCCTTGCCACTACTGCAACAAAGTCTTTGCATTAGCTGAATATCGCACCAGACATGAGATCTGGCACACAGGAGAAAGACGGTACCAGTGCATTTTCTGTCTGGAGACTTTTATGACTTATTATATACTAAAAAATCATCAAAAGTCTTTCCATGCAATTGACCACCGTCTCTCAGTAAATAAAAAAACAGCCAATGGAGGCTTAAAACCAAGTATGTATCCATATAAGCTTTATCGACTTTTGCCGATGAAATGCAGGCGTCTACCTTATAAGTCTTATCGAAATTCTTCATATGAAAGTGTTCAAGCAAGCAGCCAGGTTAATGAGTCTACTTCTAATAACTGTTTCATTCCGAATTCTCTTACTTCTGACTTACCATCACTGAATTTTCAAAGTAATATACTGACAAACAACAGAGCTCTTGCCTTGGACACCTCTTCACGTAATGATACGGCAGCTTCTACAAATACTCAGAATTCTTCCTCCTGGGGAGTGGGTATATTAAATTCTGACCTGCAAAGTGACTTTTTCACACGGGAAAAAACAGTTTCCACTGCTGCAAATGCTTCTGGTTCTCAGGAACGTGATTCTTCAATTGTGTCTTTCACTAATGTGAAAGAGAATTCAACCTCTGTCATCAGTTATAGCAGTTCTGCACCTTCTGTTATAATGCACAGTAGCAGAGTGTCATCAGTAATAATGCATGGTAAAACAGTCACTTCCATAGAAAACAGTAAGGCAGAATCTTCAAATAACCAACCTAGTCAATCTATAAGTGATGGTTGTAAATATGGATCAGATAATTATGGCAAATGTATTACTAAATCAAAACCTGTTAAGGAGAAAAAGAAAACACTGCTATACAACAAAGCAGAAACAAGTGAGGATACACAGTACACCACAGGAGCTGGAGGAACATCTAGCAAAATAACAAATATTGTTCAAGAGTCGAGTAAAACTGAAACATACATTGCAAAGCCCGCCTTACCTGGAACGTCTGCCGACAGTAATGTTGCTCCTCTTTGTCAAATAACAGTAAAAATTGGTAATGAGGCTATTGTGAAAAGGCACATTTTAGGATCTAAGTTGTTTTGTAAAAGGGGTCGAAAATCTAAATATGAGTCTAGACAGGACAACCTAGTTGAGGAGTCGGAAATGGAGGCAAAGGAAAGAAGCCCATCTCGGCTCTACAGCTCAGAATGCATGGAGCTGCCAGAAATGTGTGATGATGTGAGTGACCAGGATTCCAATGATAAGCCCTGGAGACCTTACTACAATTACAAACCAAAAAAGAAATCTAAACAGCTAAGAAAAATGAAAAAGACCAAATGGAGGAAAAAGCATGGATACAAGAATCCCATTAAAGAAAGTCACAACACGTGCAGCCGAGAGTATGCGCTGAGGAATGCACCTGAGGAAAAGGGCATCAGTCAAGAGGAAAACCCCGAGATGCCCAATCTTCACTGTGAGCTCTGTGAAACAGACAAATCTGCCCCCGCAGAAAGTCAAGAACACATACACTGGCATGTAGCTACTTCGAAGCCTTACATTTGTGAATTATGCCAAAAACAATTCCAAAGTCCATCCACTCTAAAAATGCATATGAGGTGTCACACTGGAGAAAAGCCCTACACCTGCAAAACCTGTGGTAAGTCTTTTTCTATTCCTGGGAATCTACAGAAACATGAACGTATTCATTTGGGTGTGAAAGACTTTGTTTGCCAATACTGTAATAAGGCATTCACTTTAAATGAAACGCTCAAAATACATGAAAGAATTCACACTGGAGAAAAGCGCTACCACTGTCAGTTCTGTTTACAGAGTTTCTTGTATCTTTCTACCAAAAGGAATCATGAGCAAAGGCACGTACGTGAACATAATGGAAAAGGATATGCTTGCTTTCAGTGCCCCAAAATTTGCAAGACAGCAGCTGCTCTGGGAATGCACCAGAAGAAACATCTTTTCAAAAGCCCGGGCCCACAAGGTCGGAAAGAACATTTTTGCAACGAAAGAGCTACTAAACTTTCGGAAAATCAACATTTTCTTGGCTCAGAAGAGAATGAAGTGAAAAATATACAAAATAGAACTTCAGAAGTTGTACTCTGAGTGACAGTTGTGAAAAAGAGGAGAAAAATCCAGATATTGGATAACGGGGAAACTGCTGCACTTAAGGACCATTTACAAAAATAAAGATCAAAGTTCTTCATCTAAATGTATGCCAATATATGCAAAAGAAGAAGCGGAAAAATCACTGAAAAAGAAAAACTAATATTTTGCAATAATACAAACTTAATGTGAGAGTCAGACGCAAAATACTTTTGCCACCATAGACTTCTAATATATATAGATAGAAGAAAACAAAAAAAAGGACCCACCAAGCCCCTACTACTTAGCATCACTATTAGCTAGCCACTGAACTATTTTACAGTGCTGTTGTTGAGTCAGAATCGTTCTGGACATGATAAATACATAGGTTCAAAGTATAATCTGTTTCTGTGTTGCAGAAACCATATATTGCATTATTTTAAACAAAAAAAAAGTAATGTGTTTATAAACAAAATAATTGTGGTATAATGTATTCCGAAGTGAAGGTGGGAAATGTTTCATGAATTTGAGTATGCTGAAGTACAGTTGAGTTCTGGGAGGCATTCTGCATTTACAAAACAGATGCAGGAGTATAAATTTAATTACATGTCCATATTTAGTTTTGCAGTTACCCTGTTAGGCATAAAGTCTCTGAGTGATAGTATGTAAAGTAATCCAGATTTATCATATCTCTGAGACATATATTAAAGATTTAGTGCAATTTATAACAGTCTGTCTTCCAAATTGCATAAATCCCAAAAGATTCAACTGTCAATGGCCTGGTAGGACTATTCAGGTGCATCTAACTGAAGAAAATCCTCATGCTGCGTTCCCATAGTTAGTTAGGAAGCTGAGCAGCTTAAAAACATCAGGTATGTAAGTGCCCAATTCCCGGTAGTCTTTCCCGCCTTTAAGAAAATTGTTCTTCTCATCAGAAGAAGGGGGGATTTGGACAGTCTCCCTCCTCCTCCTGGAATAGTATCCAAACAACAAATGACTGAGCTACTCCCAGTAAATTTGCCTTTTTTTTTTTTTTTGTTTTGTTTTGTTTTGTTTTTGGGAGGAGTAGGTACATGCTCAGATTCTTGCTTCCGTATATATCACATGTAGCTGTATTTCCCTACAGCATTTCCCATGTCCTATCCCAGTGATATCTCACCTTCTTGCCCCACTCGAGCTCCTGCGGGGAATCCCTGTCCCCAGCACGGTGGATCCGTAGCAGAGACGTGCTGGGCGCCAGTTCCTAGGCAAAAAGTGTTGTTTCTATTTCCTTCACCCTGCCACACCTGAGGTTTATGGTGAGCCCAATGGTTTGGCATTCTTCTAAGCGCTGGGAGAACAAGCTTCTGGAAGACATCACTAAAATAAACCGTACAATTAATATAGTTTTGTGAAAATGTGATTCATTTGAAATGAGGTGAAAAAAAAAGAGGATAGATTCCTGCAAGTTGCATTTTATATAACAAGGCTCTGTTGTATTGTATCTGCATTTCCAAGTAGTCGTGTACTTTCATCTTATGAAGTGTTTTTTAAAAAAACAAAGCCAGGACAAAGGTAGTGAATCTTGACTTCATTCTATGTGCAAATATGGTACATTTTGTTTACTTACTTTGTTTTCTTGAATATTAAAAAGAAAAATCTATAGCGTATGATAAAAGTGAAATGATAATACAGTATTGATTTAAGTAATAATATAGTCCACTTATTTATTCTATCATTTGTGGATGTATGAACCCAGGAGAAATTTTTGGTTTCATGTCAGCTTTGGTTCCATTGAAATAAGAATATAGGAGAATAAATATGGAAAGTATGGTGACATTTCAAAGACAGTACATGGGAGATATTTTCCAAGTGGACTTGTATGATGTTAATTATAGACCAAAGCAAATAAGGTAGAATATTTATACATATAAAGATAATTTTACAGATATTTTATATAACTGTATAGTTCATAAGAGAAATATGGATAGCTTGTGTTAGGTTTGGGGGGGTTTGTACATTTTGATAAAAACACAATGACTTTGTAACTCTGTATATTCTCTACAATTTATAACAAAGCAGTTTTAAGATGGCAATGTCATGTTTATTGTGGCACTTTTACTACAAGTAACACACTGCGGTAATGAGTAAAGTATTAATGACCAAATTAGAATTAAAATAAGTGTAAGAGATGGTAAATACTATATGTTGTCAAAGACTGTAATTTGCTACATAATGACATCTGTATTTTTTTGTTTAGAAGAAAATATTAAATGCAGATGTTAAGGATTGAAGAAGTCTTACTTTATTTTTAGAAAGAGTGCTTATAACCCTGTTTTTGCCTGATTAAAATAACCTCTTCCTATTTTTCTGTAAGTCTCTCCATTTTTTAAGGTATGTTAATACTTTAACAATCTATATAATCCAGAGATATATATCTTCTAATATGTATTTCATTGTATGATTAAGCAAAACAGTTACCAAACATTCCCTTCGTTAAGGTCAGCACAATGAATCAAGAACCCTTCATACGTCAAGGGAAGTGATGGTATCTCCTGACATCGTCCCCTAAAGGGTGAAGGCTCAGTGCTGAGGTGAACAGAATCTCCCTGCCCAGTGTCTCAGAGGACCTGCAAGACAGGTGAACTCATTTTAATGCTTTTAAACAGTTTAAACATGTTTTTATGATGACCCCAATGACTATGAATTTCAAAAATTCCTATTAAAGACCAGTGGTAACTTTGCAGTATAGATTGTGCTATTTGAAGCATACCGGGCTTCATATCTTTTGAGACAACTTTAAGGAGATTGTTCAGAATGCCAGTATCTAATCTGCATAACATTATGCTATATATACAAAATAGAAAACTACACATTCAGTGTACAACCCTTTTCAGGTAGGTGTCACTAGTCATGCTTTAAAAATTAAGTTAGGGTAATACTATTTAGATCATTAGGAATTGGTCCTCAGGAGAGATGTCTAATTAAACAGGAAAATTCGGAATTTTGCTACATATATTGTCTCTATTTTAATCACTAATAAAACAGACAAATTGATCATCACAAAGTTTGTGCATCTAAATAGTCAAGCTTCATTTATAACGTATGCAAAACTAAAACAGATCTATTGAACCGTACTGCTGTTATCTGTGAAATGAGATAATCTGATATTGATAAAATGCAGTCAGAGAAAGTATTTGAAGTAAGGTAGTATTATCATCTCTCCTTTCTATTCTTAATTTCCTCAGTAGAGAAATTATCATTGACGATTCAACACCTCAGCTGATGTCAAAGGTTATCTCATGAGATGAAAATGCCCCTATTTATATCCTCATTTTAAAATAAATATTTTTTTTGATGTTAGGTTGAAACTTAGCATGCCACTCTTTGCCTTAACTCTGTCCTTAGCTGAGCAGACATGTCATGGACACACTCCTAAAATGTAATATCAGAGTGCCAAAAATTAACATTATGCAATCACAGAATTCTGAATATAGTGTGTTAGATTATGCGAAGACGCTTTTGGAATGAAATGGATTTCTCAGCGATGGGACGACACCAAAACTAAAACCTTACTTTGTTAATGGTGGAAGGTCTGTGTTTTCCATGGAAACCAATGCAAGATTAAACAGTGAACTCTAGCTGTAATAACTTAAGATAACTTTTGACAGAGTATGTAAGAATTAGAGGCAGACTCACACAATCTAGACAAAAATCTTTATTTTCAGAACTCTACTCCATTACATTTTCCAGATGCTTCAACCCTCCTTGGTTTGTGCGAGTTCGCCAATCCGCCTCAGTTAGGAGTGAAGCCCAGGGGAAACCAAGGGCGCACAGTCCATTTCTCACGCTTAGCGTAGCTGAAGCTCTTATATCTCGCACAATCAGCTCCCGCATTCGGCTTCTTCGTGCAGAGCCAGGTTTGCCGGCACACAAACGCTCCCGTTAGCGGGGGGCGCAGGGGCCCTCCCTCCATGGGGAGGTCTGCCTGGAAGCGCCGCAGGACGGGGCACGCGGGAACACCAGCGCACAGGGCGCGCGGAGGCCCCACGCACGGGCGCGCTGCCCGCACCAGCGGCACCTTCGTTCGTCAGCACCTCGCGCACCCCGTGATGCTGCATCCACCTCCCCGGGGAAGCAAGGAAAGCCCCGCCGCTTCCTACGCTGCATTCGCGCGAGGCTGGGCCAACAACGTGCGCGAGCCGGCAGGCAGGCGGCAGCGCCCGCCCGTCCCCGGGCCCCGCGCCGGGGCGGGCCGCGGCCACGGCTGAAGGGGCGGCGCTGCCTCCGCGC